TGGGTATGATATTTTTGGATTTCTGCTTACACCATAATTTAGATTATTGTTAGAGGGCAATTCTCTGTTGTTGGTTTAATGGAAGCAGAGGAAAGGCGAAAAAAAAAAAGAAAACGTGGGTGTATTTTGCAACCACTATTGAACAGGTGTCTTTTTAGAAACTGAGATATTTTTGTTTTTTTTTTTTTTTTAAACTATATTTTGTTTTCTTTATTTGGTGCTTATTAAAGCAGTTAATGATTGCGTAATATGTTTAGTTTTGATAACAAAAACTTTTTTTTGCTCAATTTATAGTTTTTGTTAGACTTTTTCTTGGTTTACTTGGCCGTGAATATATGAATCATGAATAAAAAATCAGTTTATTTGTGTTAAAAAAAAAAGATTCTATTTTTTTAGATGATAACAGTGTATTTATTTTTACCAAACAGTACTTTAAAAACAGTTTGCTGTTCTTCATGTGCAATACTTTTTTCATAAATATATTTTCGTTTTGATGATTCAGTTGAAATCTAATTGTTCTGCAGTAAAGCATTTGAGTTTTTGAAGATTGCTTTTTGTGTCTCAGTGTGTTTTGTGTTTTTCGTTTTTCTATACTATCGGTAGTTGGTAATACTACTGTCATTTTTTTTTAAAACCGTTACCAGGCAGTTTTTCAGGTTTTTTAAATGTAACCTTTTTTTTTTACTGTTTTATATGTAATCATAAATAAGTAATGTTGAAGTAGGTAGAGGTTATCTGTCCTACTATCAATTCTCTGTTAATATATGCAAATTAGTTTGAACTTTCCTCAGTTTTTTCTTTTTTTTTTTCTTTGTCTGAAATAGAATGTTGCTGTCTCGACCGGCTTTGGAATCTTATTAAATAAACTTGAGTATTTTAAGTAATTTTCAATAAGTAGTTGTTGTAGGTTTTAAAAGATCTTGAATTAGTTTATGTGCTTCATTCATTTAGCGGCTATAAACCTATGAGGAAATTCTTAGGTTAAGACAGGTAGTATTTTCTGTCTAACTTGTCATGCTTTACCTATAGCGTATTTATTATGCATTATTTTGTTTCTTCTTTTAACTTATTTTTGAGCGATTATACAGCTTTGGTGCTGATAGACGGGTGTATTTATTGTATATAATGGTCTTCTTTCACCATTTCTTCATTCGGTTTTTGCAAACTCTTTCCCTAATTGATTCGCTCCAAATCAAGTTTTTCTTTTAGTATTAAAGGAATTAGTCGAATTAAATAAAGGACATTTCTAAAAATAAAGTACCATTTGAATTGATTTTTCCAAAGTGCTTTTGCTTTCCTAGTACATTTATTTATTTATTTTTTCTTGCAACACTTTTCTTTTATTATTTTTGATGTCACTGTTATTAGTTGACTTTATAGTTTATTGTCATACATGATGAAAATTTTCTTAAATTTATCAAGTATTACCGGTAAGCCGGCCTTCTGTATTTTTTTAGTCTTTTTTAGTCTCATTGGTGCACAAATAATCATTTGGTCAATGTTTCGCGAATACATTCTGTTCCTCAGCGGTTATATTCGTGTCCAGAATGTTTCCATTGTTCGAATTTCCTAAACACTTTTGATTTATATGAAGATTTTATACATCTGTTTTTGCTTTTTAGTACCTTGCTTATCGATCGCCGCCGAGGTCCATCGCGGGTACGATGGTTGGCGGGTTGCTTGCGAATTTTATTTTACTACTAATTTGTCAGCTGTCATGGTGTCAGTATGAGGAGGGTCCAGGTCGGTTATTTGGTTATTTTGCTGACAGTTGTCAGTTTAGTTAATAGGAAGTAATACAAATCAGAATTCCTTCTTTTTTATATTTATAGCAGTTTTTTCACCCTAAGTTTTTCATCTTTTGGGTTATATTTCGGATTACAGTCGATATTTGAAGAATCTTTGTGCCATTGCAAATCGTGCATTTTATGTTAGTTTAGAGAGTTATGGTTGTAACTTGGGTTTTTTTTGAGATGTTTTATCCAGCTTTTTCTGTATGTTTAACTCTGTAGCTTTAGTTCGTGCGCAAATCTTAGAACCAGATAAGGATTCGCCATGTCTTAAACTGTCGCGAGCAAATTACACGTGTTCTGCCTGCATCCAGTTACATAGTACTTGTGCATGGTGTAGTGCGGAAGTATGGTTATTTTTTTTTATTGATTAGACTAAGACTTTTATTGAATTTTCTATACAGGAACTTTGATATAATATGAAGTTTTGTGTGATAGGCCGGGTAAAGTCGATTGTCTGTCTGATAAGGGTTTCTCATTTGATGCTTCTTAGGACTTCAATGATCAGAATGAATTTTCTCGATGCGGCACAGCTTCCTTTCTGAAGTCCATGAATTGTTCTGAAATTCATATTCACGACCCAAAAACTACTTTGGAGGAGGTCAAGGTAAAATGGGTTTAAATATCAGTTACCAATAAAAACTCATATAATGAAGCTTTTTGGTTTTTCACTGCGTTTTCAGAGGCTACAAGCGACGAAAAATTTGTTTGTATTTGCAGATTAAAAGTTGTTGATCTTTTTTTTACAAATAACTGAGCAATGACAAGTTTTGTTGAGAACTTTTAAAAAAAACCTGATTAAGCCACAGGTCTTTGCAATATTTCAGGTCTTCGTTTTCATTTTTCCTCGATTTAAGCTTCTCAAAACGTTTTTTAAGCAAATATTTTAGAATGATGAGCTGTCAAATGCTGGAGACAAGGAATCAGAGGAGGATGCCGTCCAGTTGAAACCCCAAGAATTAAACATCAATATTCGGCCAAGTTTCTATTCTTTAATTGCTTTGTAAAATTTACTTCATTTATCGTAATTTTTATCATGCTATTACCAACTTCTTAACTCTTGGACACAAAAACCATATTTTTAGAAGCTAAGGTGGAGTTTGAAGTAACTTATCGTCAGGCAGTCGATTACCCTGTAGACCTTTATTATCTTATGGATCTCTCGTACTCTATGGAAGACGATAAGGAAAAATTAGCGGAACTTGGTGGAGCATTAGGTACTTGATTATTAGAGTTACGTGGTTATTTTTAAATCAGCATTTGGATTGCAGTTTTTTACAGGAGAACGTATGCGAAAGATTACGAAGAACTTTCGACTAGGCTTTGGGTCATTTATTGATAAAAGTTTGAAGCCATTTATAGATCCTCGGCCGGAAAAGTAAACGCTTAATTCAAAATTTTCGATTACCTTATTGTTTTTTGATGCCTAATATATTGAAATGTTCTCTCTCCACGAGGATAAACCAACAGAAATTTCATTACTGGGACTTTTTTTTTTGGGGGGGGG